TGTTTATAGCAGCACAATTCATAATTGCAAGGCTGTGGAAAGAGCCCAAGTGCCCATCAATCCAAGAGTGGATTAATAAAATGTGGTATATGTATACCATGGAGTACTATTCAGCTCTAAGAAACAACAGTGATATAGCACATCTTATATTTTCCTGGTTAGAGCTGGAACCCATACTACAAAGTGAAGTATCCCAAGAATGGAAAAACAGGCACCACATATACTTACCGGCAAACTGGTATTAACTGAGTAGCACCTAAGTGGACACATAGGTACTAGAGTAATAGGGTATTGGGCAGGTGGGAGGGGGGAGGGGGGCGGGTATATACATACATAATGAGTGAGATGTGCACCATCTGGGGGATGGTCATTCTGGAAACTCAGACTTGTGGGGGGAGGGGGGAAAGTGCATTTATTGACACCTTAAAATCTGTACTCCCATAATATGCCGAAATTAAAAAAAAAAAGTAGCTCAGTCTTATACCTTAATTATAAAATGTGAGGGGTACTGGCATGAAATTAGGTGAGAATAGAAGGGAAGGACAAAACTGTGAAAAAAATTACATATATAATGTGCAAAAACATTTGGATTGTATCATATGTAATAATAGTTTACATTTTAAAATTGTCTTGCTGTATTTTGTAAGCATGCTTACGTGAGTTAAATTAGCCTATGAAACAATTTTACCATGCTATCTACAGAACATAACACAACACTATTAAAATTACAACTATGTAAGATTATGTAGATATTTAAATATGGAATAAAAAGTAACATACAAAATTATAAATTGACGGATTAGGAAGTAGAACTGTGGATAATTATCATTCAAGTCTTTAGCTTTGAGTAATTATCATTTTTATCTGTAAAATATTTTAAAAATAAATACAAAGTGCTATGGTCATAAAGTTGTTATAAAGTAAACTGAGTCCAGGAGCCACACAAGGGAAACTGGCAACTTGTCTCACTTCATATTTCAATAGTCATATTTAGCAAATATCATTATTTTTATGAAGCTTTTTCTAATCCTTTTAAACTTATGTCATCATTCCATATCAAGAAGAGAAAGCCGAAACCATCCATTTGCATGTATTCAAATGATGTCCAACATTACTTCCTGAGATTTCACATCTCAGGGTCATTTTGCTAAGTGTAGTCCTAAATTTAAAATCTACCCATATGTAAATCTAGCCTTTCTCATCATATATGATCATATATTATATTATTATTTCCTTTTGTATATTCATTCATCATTTTATCATTTTAAGATTTTTTTTGTCGTTTAGAATGAAGTTCAGATGTTATAATGGAATATATCAACTATCTCCGGAGGAAAATAATGTTTTCTTTTTGCTTATAACACTAGGAAATTTACCTAAATATCATTAACCTGTTATTTACACTCAATTTTTCATTTATAAGTTTCAAATATGTGCATTTTAAATCTGATCATTCCTACATGCGGAATGTGTTCTGTGTTTCATAGTGTAAAATTAATCATAAATATAGCAGAAAAGGATGCTTTGATTTTTGCTTCTGAACAAAACTACAAAAAATAGCCCCAATGTTTTATCATGTCAAGAAAAGACAATAGAAATTGTAAATTAACCCAATGTCAACATTAGAAATTATTACAAATGTTTCTATGCAGAGAGAAATAAATTCTTCATTTCTTACAATTCAGAAATATTGTTCAAAAAATATTTCCCTGCATCACAAACAAATAAAGGTATTACTTGTCAGAATATAAACTTTTTTCACATATTAGTTCCAAATATCATTGTGGAACTGAATCATTCTCTTTAAGAACCAATCTGATTTTTTCCATAGATTTATTAAATTAGCAAACAAAAATCAATACCTTCATAAAAGTGTCATATTAATAGGCCTAAACAAATCAGGCTTAATGGATTTTTAAAATTAATTCCCTGATATTTTACCAATTTCAAATTACATTCTAACTTAGAAGGTAGGTACACCTTCCATGAACAAATGAGGAAGCTGAGCTCCTAACACAGTGTAACCCAAATTCCTAGTCATAATGTAAACCAGAGACATAAATGCAATCATAGTAGACCATCCACATTCTATTAAGTTTAAATTTATTACAGTAGCAATTATGCTATTAGCATAAGTTTCACCAATTTTTTTAGAGATGCACATTTTACAGGAAAAAAGTTTTCAATAAAAAAGAAGCATTTTGAAGATGAACATAAAACTTAAAACTATGGATTTAAAAACCATATCTAAAAAAACATAATAAACACATATAAACAAACAATCTATTTATAAATTTATTAGTGAAATAAGACTGGTTAAAATACATCTGCTGTGAACAGATCAATTTTCCAACCAATGATAAACTTTATTCTGAGCCAAATAAAAAAAGTCATTGTCAGCAGAAGATCTGCTGAGGAATAGCTATGTACAGCATTAATTAGAATGAAGATAATACATTCTGCTATTTCAAAATGTCAGAAAGATTAAAAAAAAACAAACACTGAAGCACAGTTCTACCTCAAGATACATATTAAATGAATTTCTACTTATGCCAGCTGAGGAAAAAAAATCTATTTATCAAAAAATATTTTTTCAGTTTTTTTATTCTGACTACATGTAAATTACAGAAAATATGGAAAAGTAAAAAGAAGAAATTACCCACAATTCTACCACCAAAAGACAATAATTGTCAACATTTTATTATTTCAGTCTTCTTCCAGTCTTCTTCCTTGTACTTCTTACAGAATAAAAACTCTGTCTTGTACCTTAAGACTACAACATATGGACATCACCAATAGTATAAATTCTAAAGGTGGAAAGCACTGCTTGTCATTTTGAAATTTAACTTCTTTTCAGGTTATGTGAGAGAATACCGGAAGAGGCAGACACTGAAGCACATCTGTTAGGCTGGTAACACTGGTTTAAAAGAAATTCTACCAGACTTCATTAGATTCCTTTTAGTAAAAAACATAATTTTTAAAAATTAAGGGATTCAAACCTCATATAAGGTTTGAGTTTTCAGATGATGTATACCAAATAAGCTCTTAATGCGTCAACTTAGTAAACTCAAGATTAATAATGATAATAACCATTTATAGCTATATTATGCTTTTCCCTATGCATACTATCATTTTGTTTATATTAAGCTATGAGATAGGTAGACATTCTCATATTAACGATGTAGAATACTGAGTTATGACATGATTAAACAATTTAACAAAATGTACCCCAATTTAGAAGACAACTAGAGAGCAAGTCTTTTAATTACCAGCATCATTTCTATATGTGCTACTCTACACTGATGTTTATATAAGATGACACTGTGAAAGAGAAACATATTTGTTAAAATGCCCTGATAAAAATAATATTAAACTTCAAAAAATGAGTTAATGTTGCATGTCTGATTAGACTAGCCTTGAGAAATTCTAAAAACAAGGCAATCATCTCATTTGGGAGAGAGACATGTAACTGATTCTATACTGTTCCAAGATTTTTTGAAAACATAATATAAGCACTTTCAGGTCTAGAAATAAGTAAAAACAGTCAGAGTACTCTGCTTATGTAGCCATATTTCTTTCCAAGCAAGGACTTTATATTCTTTGTGTCTCAGTTTCCTAATGTTTGAAATGGGATAACAATACTTAGCTGGCTGTGGTGAGGATTAAATGAGTTAATATACATAAACCACTTAGTCTTGTGCCTGCCACAAAGTAAATCTAATAAGCACTTGCCTTATATAAGCTTGTCATTTTTCCCCCTACCAGGATGGAAATGCATGCATATAGGCTCTGAAACTTCAATGGAATGAAGGATTCCACACCCCCATTGTGATGTTCAATAATTCATTTAAGAAAACGATCTAACTAAAACCTACATGCTAAGCATCTAAATTTTGAGTTACTCTGTATAGAAATGTGCCTAGATCTAAAGAGGTCAGTTCACCTAACACACTTTATAGTCAGTGAGATTGTTTGCACATGCCTGTCGAAGTTTCAAGCATCTTCCTAATGACAGGCTCATGGCCATGATTCCCTATGTAACTAAAAAATCGTATGAGAGCAACAGTAAATTGGACTTAAAAGTAGAGATCAAATAAGGAATAAAAACTCTTTCCAGCAGTAAGTAACAATCTAGTTCTTATCCTTCTCACTGCAATAAAATGGGAAATGCAATGGTAAAATGTGTTCAATAACTTATGCCAAACTGATTAAAAAACTATAGTACGCTGCCGGAAAATAGTGCTAAAAGGGAAAAAAAATCATTCTCTTTCCATTATGATGATTATTCAATAAACAGTTTTGCTTGCTTCTGGAATAGATTTTTCAAGTTTTACTGGAAAAAAAGTTTTGTCACTTTCTGGAAAGGTTTACCCTTTTAACGTGGAACGCTCAACTTGGGCAACACAGCCTTTGGGTCAGACTGTGTTTGACCCAGGCAAGTCTAGACTACCTTCCTGAATAGGCAGGCATTGTAAAGAACACAGTCTGAATCCAACACTCACAGATAACCAGAATCTACTCCATTCACTTTCACAAAGGACGGTAATTTTCACTGCTTGCCTTTAAATAGGTTTAGGATGCTATTGAATTTCCTTGCCTTCCTACTGTGTCCATCCATCCATGTAGCTCAACTTTAGGAGTCACATCTCCAAAGATTCTCTTCTTCCTCCCAAAAATTTTCCGCAGGAGGAGGATCTAGTATCAACGAAAGACCCTTTCGTAGCAGGGTCTCACGTTCCTCTTTGCAGAGAAATGAATGGCCTTGCCAAAAAGTAAAGCCACGCCAACTCGGGGACAGGCAGGCAGAGCCCATCTTTGCAACTCAAACCTGCGAGTGCCCAGCCAGGTCTGGCCACGCACGAAAGCGCACCGCACCTTCCAGACTGCAGATTCGTTTTACCGCCGAGACCCAACGCCGCCGGGGAAGGTCCCCCCCGACCCCCAGCCAGCCCTGCCGTTCTTGGGGCTCCTCGAGCCGCTCACTTCCCCAGACCACTCACCTTGCTGGGCTCCAGCGTCCTCCAGCAGCAGGAGCAGGACGAGTAAGAGCAGGAGGAACAGAGGCATGGAGGAGGAGGAGGGGCCGGAGCGGGGAGGGAGGGAGCAGGAGCGGGAGAGGGGGAGCGCGGCCCGGGCGGGGGCGGCAGCCGCGGCCCGGACTTGGGGACACTGCGGGCTGCGCCCGGCTCTCACCACCGCCCGGCTCGCCATCGCGGCGGCCGGCAGTCCGCCCGCATAGTGCGGGCGCCCCGGGGCCGCGGCAGCCCGCGAGGAGGCGGCGGCTGCGGCGGGAGAGCGAGAGGCAGCGCGCGCCTCGCCCCGCGCCGGGACCCCTCCGCCCCTCACCCCGCGTTCGCCTCCTCCTCTTTCGTCCCTTCCCTCCGCTCCCCGCCCCGCGACCCCAAGCCGGAGCGCAGGGGAGGGGAGGGAAGGAATCGGGGTGCTCGAGCCGCGGAGAGTGGCCGCGGCGGAGCTGGGGAACCCGCCTCCGCAGCCGCGCTCCTCACCAGAGCCCCGCTAGCCGCGCTCGCCCGCGGCTCCGGCTAGCTGGCAAGCAGGCTCGCAGCCCGCTCCCTCGCGCTCCCTCTCCCGCGCGCTGGCCACGCCTCCCAGCCGCCACGGCCAATCCTCGGCCAGCTCCGGTCCGTCTCTTTCCGCGTGACCCAATCAGCATGCTCTCTCCTCGGCCAACCCGCCAGCTCTCCGGCCCACTCCTCGAGCTCCCCCGCCCCTCATCTCCCTCCTCCAATCCCCTTCGGCCTTTGGAAGCGTCCCACCCGCCTCCCCCCAATCCGGGTCCCGCCCCCAAGCTCCGGCCGCCCGGGGCCCCCACCCGGCCCGCGCGCCTGTTATTGTTGGGACCGCAGCCCAAACTGATGCCGCTGAGGCGGCCGCTAGCTCTGGTCAATGACTTCCGGGACTTCCCCCATCCCGTTCTCGCTGTTCCTCAGGCCCAGCTTGCTCCTTGCTCCTCCCCCGCTGCACATCAGGCCACTGGAAGGGGTGGGAAACCTGGATTCTGGATGGTTTGAGCTGAGAGCTGGGAGCTGAGTGTAAGATACTTTTTTTTTAATAGAGCATTTTTTTTTTATTGAAACTACAGCCAGGGTTGCACCAACTCCGAGTTATAATACAGTAACAGATGCAATGTGAGCTATGATAGCACCACTGCACTCCAGTGTGGTCAACAGAATGAGACCGTGTCTCAAAAATATATATATATTTCCTGTTTCCTATGTTCTTTATACTATTTATTTTATGCTAAATAAAATTTATTTTATGCTAAATAAAGTGCTAAATAAACATGAGCAGTGCCCCCCAGGCAATTTAAACCTACCATCATAACATTCATTCAGCCATTCTACAAAGAGTTGTTGGGCACCTGCTATTTATCTGCTAGCATTAAGCTCAGAGTCTTAGGATTTGCAGCCACAACACGGAAATCTTGCAGGATCCAATGTGGGACAGAGATGGAAATATATCATGCAAGCCAGAAAGAAATAAGCGCTTAGTCACAATTTGATGGGGTCTGTAAGCGGGTGGAATGACAAAAAGAGTTTTGGGAAAGGGGAATCCAAAGAGCTACAGTGATTTATTTTGGACAGGAGAGAGCTGCTTCCGGGATATTTTTTAACAGTTGTCCCAAAAGGATGATGGTGTCATTAACAAATACAGAAAACTGAAAAGGTGAAACAAATTGTGTGTGAAAGTAACTTAATTTTGGACATGGTGAATTTAAGACGGTAACTTAGCTAATAAGAACCAGACAGGTGGATATTTTGATCTAAATCTTAGTTTGAGGAGTGCTTTGAAATTATGAGTCTGGGAGTCATGAATAGATATGATACTCAAAAACATGGAAGGGGCTGATATCCTCAAGCCAAAAATCTGAGTTGGAAAGGAAACTGAAGGTGATCTCTTCCTACTCCCTTGCATATTTCTCATGCAATAAGTCCTTCTACCAAATTTATTCAAATTCATTAAGTGCCTAAGAATCCTATTATGCTCTAAGCCTAATACAGGCATTGTGTGTACAAACTTTAATAATGTCCAGATTACATTCGGGTGGAGGAGGTGAACATGTAACCAAATCCATTGTTATCAGGTGGCATGTTGTAAGTATGGACTGGTGCTACAATACCACAATGGAAGTAATTAAAAAAAAATCACAGCACATTTTAGCTCCAGCTATCTTGAATTAAAAAAAATAAAATAAAAACCCAAAGTGAAAAAGGTGATCCCAGGCACAGTAATGAATGGTGTCAAAGATGCTGAATGAAGTTGACTACAGCTGACTTTATGGGTAGAACTAGCATCTGGAAAAGTTAGCAGAGGCAAGGTCTAAGAAAGGCTAAGATTCAGGATTTTATTTTGTAACATTAAGAAATAACTAAATGGTTCTAAGAGTGACATTATGAGGATTTTATTGTAGAAAACTCAATCAGACAGGAGGGCAAGGAATACATTGGAGTAAGAGCAAGACTAGAAGCCAGGGAGAGAGCCAGTCTGGATTTAAAGGGAGTGACAGGTATTGCATCTTCAACTTGATTCCCAGTTTGACTATTAAAGGCATATATGAAAGCTACTGATTTGTGTGCACTGATTTTGTATCCTCAGACTTTGCTGAATTTATTTATCAATTCCAGGAATCTCTTGGTTGCATCTTTGGGGATTTCTAGACATATCATATTGTCAGCAAAGAGCAATAATTTGACCTCTTCTGCCCCCATTTGGATACCCTTGATTTCCTTCTCTTGTCTGCTTGCTCTGGCAAGGACTTCCAACACTATGTTGAATAGAAGTGGAGGTAGTGGTCAAAGGAGATGAGAGACCTATATAGGGGGAACTATGAAATACTGAGAAAAGAAATTGCAGAGGAAGTAAATAGATAGAAAACCATATGATGATCATGGATTGGCTGAATCAATATTGCTAAAATGTCTATACTACCTAAAGTGATCTACAGATTCAATGCAATCCCTATTGATATACCAACATTATTTTTCACAGATCTAGAAAAAATAATTCTGTGCTTTGTATGGAACCAGAAAAGACTCCATATAGTCCAAACAACCTTAAGCAAAAAGAACAAATTAGGAGGCATCAATCTACTAGACTTCAAGCTATACTATAAGGCTATACCAACCAAAACAGCATTGCATTGACACAAGAACAGAGACGTAGACCAATGGAATAGGACTGAGAATCTAGATATAAAAATCATCCTTGTATTGTCATCTGATCTTTGACAAAGCAGACAAAAACATACACTGGGGAAAAGAATCCCTATTCAATAAATGGTGCTGGGAAATTTGGATAGCCACATGTTGAAGGCATGCAACCATAAGAATTCTAGAAGAAAATCTTGGAAAAATTCTTATGGACATCGGCCTAAGCAAAGAATTTATGAAGAAGACCCTAAAAGCAATCACAGCAACAACAAAAATAAATAAATGGGACTTGATCAAATGAAAAAGCTTCTGCACAGCCAAGGAAACTATCACTACAGTGAACAGACAGCCTACAGAATGGGAGAAAATATTTGCATGCTACACATCTGATAAAGGGCTGATAGCTAGAATCTGTATAGAATTCAGGAAAATTAACAAGAAAAAATCAAACAACCCCATTAGAAAATGGGCAAAGGACATGAACAGAAACTTTTCAAAAGGAGACAAATGGCCAACAAACATATGAAAAATTGCTCAACATCTGTAATTGTCAAGGAAATGCAAATAAAAATCATAATGAGATATCATTTAACACCAGTGAGAATGGCTTTTGTAAAAAATTCCCTAAAAAACAAATGTTGGCGTGGATGTGAAGAGATAGGAACACTCATACACTGCTATAGGACTACAAATTAGTACAACTTCTATGAAAGGTAATATGTTGATACCTCAATAAACTACAAGTAGAACTACCATTTGATCCAGCAATCCCACTACTGGGTATTTCCTCAAAGGAAAAAAAGACATTGTATAATAAAGACATCTGAACACAAATGTTTATAGCAGCAGAATTCATGATTGTAAAGATGTGGAAACAACCCAAGTGCCCATCAATACATGAGTGGATTAATAAAATGTGTGTGTACCATGGAGTACTACTCAGCCACAAAAACAATAGTGATCTGGTACCTCTTGTATTATCCTGAACGGAGCTGGAGCCCATTCTTTGAAGTGAATTATAACAAGAATGGAAAAACAAGTATCACATCACTAACAAGCATCAGTTAGCACCAACTGATTAACACTAATGTTCACATACGGAGGTAACATTCATTGGGTGTTGGGCACATGGGGAGGGGGAGGAAGGGATGGGTTTAGTCACACCTAATGTGTGTGGTGCGCACCGTCTGGGGGATGGACACACTTGTAGCTTTGGTTACATATATTGCAAAGGTACACACATCCAAAGTGTGTGTACCCCCATAATATTCTGAAATAAAGTAAAAAAATAACAAAATAAAAAATAAAGGGACTGACAGTGAGTCTGAACTGCATCAGCAGTGGGCTTGGAAGGCTAGAACTGACTGGAGGAATATTTGTGAACCTAGTGACTGATTACATGTGGGGAGTAAGGAGGAGCTGAGGAAGAGCCTCAAGTTTTTAGGTAGAAGGTAAAATCTTTCACATAGTAAGGAATATAAGGGAACTGCTTTGGTTGGATAAGGAAGTAGAAGATAAGATAGTACATTCAATATTGAACATATTGAACATGATGTGCTAATGTGACAAGCAGGCAGTTGTGAACTAAGATTTCTAGTAATGGACAGTCTCTGAGACAACCCACCTCATTTGTTGGACCTCCCTTTTCACAGGGCCATTGAGAAATGACCTTGAGGTCACAGAGGTGGTGACAGAGCTAGGTATTATGAATCTCAGGCTGGCATTCTATGGACTACAGAGAACTGCACCAGAAGCAGGGAATTTACCTGTGAACTAGTAGCGTTATGGAAGCCTTTCTGAAAAAAGCAAAACTTGGGCTATAGCTACTCCTACCACTTCTTAACAGAGTGTGAAAAGCTCCAGAATACATACCCCTAAAGCAAGAGGAAGTAGCACTTACATTTTCTCATTCCTGTTTTACTTACTGTTTAGTATTTTAAAGGCTTGTTAAAAGTGAAGAATAGAGAGGTGAAGAGAGTCTGAATGAGGTCAGTGGCCAGAAAGGAAGAGAGAGGTGAGAACAAATTGGAGTTATATTTAAAACAGTGAAATCAAAAGGTCTTGGTGACCAATGCCTTTTGACTAAAAATCTATGTTATTTTATGCTTCAGGTTCCTGACTTTTGCTTTTGCAATGCAGGGTCTGGAACTCTGGCTAGAGAACATCTGTGATGTCCCTTCCCTATTCCAGCATCTATAGAGCATCTATAGAGATATGGGAGAGGACTTACGCTGTTGCTGCCCCTATCCTCTCTTTAGTTATGATCATTGTCGCTCTACTGAGTTGTAAAAAGAATGACAGAAGGATGCTCTGAGATGACCAAAATCTCCTTGTGGGACCTCAAACCAAAGAAATAAAACAGGCATTCATTTCTAGGATGATTCCTGGGTAGAGTGTAAT